AGGACATCATAGCCAAGGTAAAGGAAAACCTGGAGGCTGTAGGGGATGATTTGTTCTCTGCATCGCTGGCCAAAACGCTGGAGTACCTCCAAGAGGCCCCTTACACGTTCTATCTGGAGAGCATGTACCTGAAGAGGTTCCTGCAGTGGAAGTGGCTGGAGATGCAGCCCATGGATGCAGACTGGTTCCTGGACTTCCGTGTGCTGGGGAAAGGTGGCTTCGGGGAAGTGTCTGCCTGTCAGATGAAAGCCACCGGGAAACTTTACGCATGTAAGAAACTCAACAAGAAGAGGCTGAAGAAGAGGAAAGGCTATGAGGTGAAAGCCCTGCACTTTTTTTTTTTATATATGTCTGTTACTCAGCTGGCTTTGAAAACACACAATGCCTTCAAAGTTGATTTAGAAAAAGGACTTTATCTTCTTCGTTGATGATAATAAAAAGAAAGTATTCAAAATCTATAAACTTCTAGCACCAGAAAAAATTGTTTCATCTTATATTTGAAAAAAAAAAAGATAAATTCTGTCAAAATAAAAGTTTTCCATCATCAGATAGTCACACCCCACACTGTGTGATTGATCTGTAAGAACTTGATCACATCGTAACGGATAGTGATGGATAGTGAATGCACAGCACCTGAAACGTTGGATGATGTTGCAACCAAGACGTCCCTAGACTGAGATACTGCAAACACAAACACTATGACGACAGCGATTTTTATTTATTGTGCAACATTTTCAGATGTGCATATATTTGTGACTCTTTTATAGTTAAGCAAACATCAGACTTCCTTCTCTTCAATTAGATACGCAAAAGTGGGAACTGGTGAAAGTTTACTTTCCCACGCAGCAAACTGCACGATTTACGACAATTTCAATGCATAGAGCGTTTTATTGCATGAATTTATCACTGGCTTCTTTATTTTGGTAGGCATTACATTCAATTAGCTGCTCTTTTTGTTCCAAAGAAGTCTGAATAATCAAGATATTGATTTGGCTTCATGTATTAGTAAAAGTGTTCTGTGCTTGCCGGGCTGCAGGGGTGTTAATCATCTTTGTCCCTGCCTTTGTCTCGTTTGGCTTTAGCCTGCAGAATTAAACACTGAGACAGGGATAGAGTGATTACTGGGGGCTTTACTGAAAAGCTCCTCTGAAGGGAACTCCTTGCACAGTTATATCTTGCCCTTGACTCGGCTGAGGTCATCTTGCAAAATGCACGTCCCACTTCCTCCCGAAAATGGAAGTGCACTGACGCACAAGGCTCTGTTGTAGCTTTTTGTAGTTTAAAGTCCCTTATCTCATTTTATTAAAATTGCCTCTCATGTTTTATCCCTGTAGGGGGCAATGGTGGAGAAGAGGATTCTGGAGAAGGTCCACAGTCGCTTTATTGTCTCATTGGCTTACGCCTTTCAGACAAAGGAGGAGCTTTGTCTGGTCATGACCATCATGAATGGAGGAGACCTCAAGTAAATTCACTATGCAAACCACACAGTTTTTTTTTTATTCCACTGTTCCAACATAAGAATAACTCATTTGAGAGGGAAGACCTAAAAAAGGCGAGATGAAACTTCAGCAATCATACCAAGTGTAATTTAACTCTAACTTCTGTGCATGAATTTATTTCTCATATCTTTTTGCTTGCTTATAAAATCCAAACTCGTGTTACTCAGATGAAGGATCTCAGCGACATACATGCCAAGCAGAAGGGCACAAGTTCAGAATCGGTTCATGCAAATACGTCCCCGAAGGAATGCTTTATGAAGGCAAAACAAGGCACTCATTTTCAGCGGACGCGAAATGTTTTGTGGGTTCTCCTAAAGCGCTGACCTCTTATCGTCATCTAAAGTTGAAAACAAGTTCAAAATCAGCTTTTTCAGAAAATCTGTTTTTTTTAAAGTAGTTTTCAATTCATATTCACTAACTTAAATGCATTAAAAATATAATTGAGTATTCTATAATGTGTCCATCTATACACAACATTATGAATGCTAGCAGCATTTTTTACATGTGAAGAGTCGTCCTCTGTTGTTTGCTCTGCTCAGGTACCACGTCTACCTGGTGGACGAGAACAACCCTGGGTTTGACGAGCCCAGAGCCTGTTTTTACATCGCTCAGATCATCCAGGGTCTGGAGCACCTCCACCAGAAGAGAATCATCTACCGTGACCTCAAACCAGAAAATGTGCTGCTTGACAATGATGGTAAATGCTCTTACTAAAACCTCAGTGCCTGTAGATCACACCCATCCTCTCCATGCTCTGGTCATCCATTTGGCGTCTGGCAGAAGATTCTGCAGCGTCTGTTGTTGAGCAGCCAGACTCAGAAATAGTTGTCTCCCATGTTGGCTATCAGATTGCTCAACAATGCCATCACTAAAACTGCGTGAAATTGTTGTGTGCTCCACTGTTGTCTTTGTTCAATGACAATAACATAATTCTAAGTAAAAAAAAAAAAAAAACGTTAAATTTTTTGTGGTATTCTGTTAATTTGATTCAAATTTGTTTTAACAGGCAATGTTCGTATATCTGACTTGGGTCTTGCTGTAGAGCTAAAAGAAGGCAAAACAATGACTAAAGGCTACGCTGGAACACCAGGTTAGTCTAATTTTATCTTCTTAACTTTTTTCTGTGTGCATTTCACAGTCGTCGTTACTGGTGTCCCTCCACCTCTAGTTTATTTTTTTACCTCTCTTTCGCCATATTTGTGTCTCTATAACTATAATGGCCTGTCCTCCTTGATGCAACAAGCATGCCTTTTAATGAACAAAATCAAGATTGTGACAGTGAGTTGTCTCCTTCTTCCCCTACATTTGCTCTGACCCACCACTTTGTTTTTCCTGAATAGACATAAGCTCTGTAAAGTTACATTTTAAAAGATTTACTTCACTGATTACTTTTCCACTTGCAGGTTACATGGCTCCAGAGATGCTGAAAGGAGATAAATATGACACCTCGGTGGACTACTTCACCTTGGGGGTGACTCTATATGAGTTCATCGCGGCTAAGAATCCGTTTCGAAACCGAGGAGAAAAGGTTTGGCTCTTTCAGTCTCTGTTGGAGTTTATTGGATGAATGAGCCGGTGAGAGGTTGTTCGTCGTCTGCTCAGGTTGAAAGAGAAGAGATGAAGGAGCGCATGCTGAACCGCGTGGTGACCTACCCGGATAACTTCAGTGAACACGCGAAATCGCTGTGTGACGGGCTGCTGGCTAAAGAGGTTGATCAGAGGATGGGGTTTAAGAACGAATGCTGCGATGAAATCAGAGCACATCCTTTTTTCAAAGACATTAACTGGAGGAAACTCAATGCAGGTACGCAGCCTTCAGTCTTTTCTAGACATACGAAGACCACAAATACTGAGTATCGGAATATTTCTGCATTTATCCCATAATCCAACATAAACTATTGCCTAATTGTGAAGTGGAAAGAAAAAGATGATTTTTTTTTTATAAGTAGAAAAAAAGGCATACATATATATTCAGCCCCTTTTACTCTGACATCCCTAAACAAATTTCAATGCAACTATAACGAGTGAGTAGAGCTCATACTAACTTGTGAGTATCATTATTCTGTGGCAGAATCACAGTATAATCTTAGTCAGTGTGGAAAGAAAATATGCCAAAGCTCATAAAGTTGGTAAAGAAAACCTGAAAGAGGGCACCAAAGATCTGAGACTGGTGGAGAACGAAGAAACAACACAAACAGGCAGACGTATAAGGGGTTAAATGTTAACGGGTGCCACACTTTTCAGACTTTTATTCTGTAAATTTACGTATATCATTTTCCTTCTGATTCACAATTGTCTACTGACTATCACAAAATCTCAGAGTTTATTAAGTTTATGTGTTGGTAATTCAAATGTAACAAAATGTCAAAACACTCAAACATTCATTAATGGCTTATAAAGTCTCAGTAGGTACTAGTAAAGCTTTAACACATCTATTTTTTCTGAACTCCTCAGGTATTCTCCCGCCTCCGTTTGTCCCCGACCCTAAAGTAGTCTACGCCAAGGACCTGGATGACGTTGGGGCTTTCTCCTCGGTGAGGGGTGTCGCTTTGGAGGATCCCGATAAGACATTTTTTGACGAGTTTGCTACAGGCAACATCTCCATCCCCTGGCAAGAGGAAATGATTGACATGGGCATTTATGGAGAGCTGAACCTCTGGGGGCCTGAAGGCACCATCCCAAACGATCTCCGCAGAGAGTCCATCCTGGAGCAGCCAAAGTCCTCAACTTGCTGCATATCGTAAAGTCATGGACACAAACTGAAAATAAATGCAGTTTATAGACTTGTATTTCTTTAGAAGAGGTCTCATTAAAGCCCCCGGGAAGGACAAAAGTGTCTTCTGAGCTTTCTGACTACAGACGGAGAACTTTTTGACCTGTTTTCCTTTCCTGGAAATGCAAAGGACAAAATAAAGGTGAAGCTTGAATTTGGAGAGGACTTCATTTAGCAATTCCAAACAACGTAACTTAATTTCATGTGGTCATGTCCTGACTTCACACAAGGCGTTTTAAAAATCCCATTAATAGTTTTAGTAATTATGCATCTGGTGCTGTCAGTAATTTTCTGAACATTTCAAAAGCTTTTTTTCTTTTTTCTTTTTGTTGACATGCTGCTATAGAGTACATGCCATTTATGTGAAAGTGTTTTTTTTCTTTATAAGTTATAAAACTGATTTTATTCCACGCTGCAATGCCCAAAAAGCTCAAACTTTCACGCTTGTTTTTAAATATTTCTTAAACATTTATTTATTGATCAACTATTGTCACTTATAATGAATAACTGTGAATGCAACACTATGTCGGGTCGGTTTTTTCTGAGGTAAACAATAGGAAACCAATTATTTCTAAAAAAAAAAATTATATTGTTCAGAAGTAGAAAATGTTTCAAGAGATTAAAATAAAAATAGTTTATTCATATGAAATTTTGTGTCAGGAACTTTGCATTTGCAATATGGTGTTTAGACTCCAGTCAAGGAATGTCATCCAGGCCCATATCAAAACTGAAAGGGTACTTGGAAAGTATTACCGTGATTTCATTTCATGTGATATTACTGGAAAATACGAATCGTATGATTATGGAACAAGCCAAACGTTTCCCTGCACTGATTTAAATCAACAAAAGAAAAACAAATTTAGGAAGTTCTTGAGCTGGTTTTGAGCTTTTACATCTCGTTTGTTCACTCCTTCGCTGTGGCCTTGTATATCCACACATTCTCCTGCGGTACCTCAACAAGCAGTGTTGTGTTGAAACTGCTCTTAAAGCTCTCTGCGAACCTCAGGTCTGACTGGAACCTAATTTTGTTCGCCCAAAGCAGGGTTGTCCCACTCCCTGGTCTGCAGAAGTGAAGCATAGTGTTGAGCAGTTCCCCAAGGAAGTCGTGGTGATACACCACATCAGCGGCAAGCACATAATCGTAGCGGTAGGACGGGAAGGGGAAGTCTCGCTCCAGCTCCTGGCCCCAGGAGAGGGCAGCCACCTGGGGGATGTAGCGTGAACGCCCCTTGGTATTCCGGCGAAGGTTGAAGGACAGATTGGACAAGATGTCAGGCAGATCAGTAGCAGTCACCCAGGCACCTGGTGGAGACATAATATTTTATTTTTGTTTGAGTGATATACTTTTAAAATGTACTAAAATGCCCCCCCCCCAAAAAATACAAAAATCAAATGAAAACTAGAAAAATTTGCATTGCTGTAAGCTCAATGTGTGGTGAAAATTGCAGAAGCGTTTTAAGCCGACCGCAGAAGAATTGCAGGAATATGAGAAAGAAGGAAAAGCAGCAGAAAAAGCAAAAATAGTTTCTGCATAAAACATTTATTGGAAAAACTGTTGAAAATGAGTGAAAACTTTAAGTCAGTGTAAAAATCCCAGCTATGGAGTCTCATAAATTGGTCCAGAAGACTGCTTACAAAGCCAGATTGTAAGGCCATCCGTTCAAGAGCAGTGAGTGTGTTATAGTTTTTAGCTAATATGTCAAACATTGTGGATGAATGTCAAGTTTTATAATTTTACTCCCCCTAATGTGCAAGCAAAAGTTTGTAAATAAAACAAAACAAAACAACTAAAGCTAGCTAAAATACTTATAGTAGCATGTAGGCTATCGCGAGCATGTTGATCTGATGTAACTTCGCACAGTACGCAACAAACTACATTACAACTAAAATTAGCTACAAAGCTAATTAATGCTAAATTTAGCTACAAAGCTAATTAAAGCTAAAATTAGCTAAAAAGCTAATTAAAGTTAAATTTAGCTACAAAGATAATTAAAGCTAAAATTAGCTACAAAGCTAAAGTATTCACCCCCCAAAATTAAAAAAAATAAAAATTTAATGAGCCAATAAAAACAACTCAAATTCAACAATATCCATCCATACCTTTTCATGAATTTAAAAATAATTCATTCAAACCATGTAAACACAAACTTACCTAACAAACTTGCCACTATGGAGAGTAAGCCAGTTCCTGCTCCAAGCTCCAGCACTGCTTTGTCCATCAGGTTCATTTGTTGCTGGTTGTTTTCTAAAAACTGACAGAGAGCTATTGCCTATAAAGAGACAAGTTTTTATATTTATCAGCAGTGGAAGTTTTTGATATGGACCAGCTAGCTAGTTGTAAAGAACGGCATCAGAAAGAGGAAGACCGCACGAATATAAAATAAAAAACAAATTAGGTGCACATTTTGTACCAGTGCAGTCAATGGACTTCTGCCACTCCATTATTGTTGACAACAGTATCACTATTTAACTTGCTTCGTATGAATTTGCACTGCATCTTAAAATTCAGACAATCCCCAGTGTTTTGATTGGTTGTGGGGTGGCAGTAAGCATGCCTCACTCAGGGAACCATTCATTCAAAAGCCATGGCTGTTGTCCAGTGAATTTGTAGAATGGTGATGGAAGGACTCACCCCAGGCCAAATCAGAGCGCCGTATGAGTCCGTGGACTCCCGGATGTTGACTTCATGACCAACAAAATGAAAGGACTCCTTTCCCAGGGGATAATAAACGCTCGGCTCCCACACATTTCTCCTGTCCAAACCCTCCCTTGTCATCATATCTTGGTCTGTCAAAGCTTCAGCACGAGACATCACATACATTTATATATTTGCATCTATCAGGCTTTGTAATGAGTAACTGTCTAAAACTATTTCTCTGTACTTTTCAGTGACAGCTTGTCCTGATAAAGTGAATTGTGGTTTACCCAGATCAGTCATTTCTTCCTTGCTCTGCAGTTTCTCATCATGACTCATGATTTCTTTCCTTCTGCTTTCTGAAGTCTTTGGTAGAAAAGGCTGGCTGGCTGATAACAATCCTTCCATGTCTTCTGGACAGTGTTGAGAGATGAGAACGTCACAAAGTGATAAACATCTTCATACAAATATTGAAAATCTCCCAATGTGCTGAAGTGCAGAACAGGTACGGAAACATAGTTTTTAACACTTTCATTTTCTTTTCAACTCAAAACGCATATTATGTTGTTCTTTAGCCATCTCAGTACGTGGAATAAAAATTCTTAGTTGAAATGCCAAATTTCATAAAATGTGAAACATACCTTCAGGAAGCGGTATTCTCCTCTTCTAATTTATGTTTTTGCCAGAGTGCGCACCTTTGTAGGTTGAGTCCATGTCTTTATAGAGGCGGCTTCATCTGCTCTCTGTGACCTGAAGCAGGGGTCTCCCCTCCCCTCCCTACGCTTCAACAGCAGCTTGCACTGTGTGATGCTATATCCTCTGCTATGCCACACATGTGCAGAAGATTACATGATTGAAACCGACTCCCATGCACTCCCACCTTTCATCCTTTTCCTCACATCTTCTGTTAGACCCAACCAGTTCTCTTGATTTGGCTTGACAATATGTGAGTTATTGTGCCTTTAAATTTAATAATGTGTGTCATACAATAATTATTCCCTTCTTCTAGTGTAAACCTGCTCACAAAAGATGGAGGCAACCAGATTAAAAATAATGTTTGGTTAACTAAACAACTTTATACGGGTCTCTAAATGTAAAAATTCAAAGCACAGATTTCTTTTGGCAGATGTTTGTTTTAAAGTTTTAATTTGACCATGTTTGTATATGCTTATATCTATTAATATAATAGGTATATTTTGGAGTGTCCCGTCTAGAGTCCTGAGTTGACTCTTATTGAGAGTCTCTGGCGTGAAAAAAAGATTAGGGTGATGGCAAAGAAGCCTCTCATCCTCCATGCATGTGCTGTGATGCCATTAAAGAAGGATATCCATATGTAGTTTTTCTCAAAAACAAATCCCACATTCAGAAATTGTTTTTACCATGCGTCTCAGTATCTCTAATCATATATCTACCGCTAATTTCAACGAAAGCATTTCTCATGTTTTACATTGAACTATTTATGGCTTACCAGAAAGTCTGGTACGGTGCTTGTCAGTTCTGTCAACACTAGCCTGCATGTTTTAAGTGTTTCCCTGCTGCCACATGCCTCAGTGACATAATTGGGTGATAAATGGGTTTCTGCAGGAGGAGTTTTTGCAGTTATTATAAAGAAATTTGATGCTGCAGAAACATACTGTATACAAAACACAAGGGATTTCCCTCATCCACAAAATGCCAAGTTCCGGTGTCATTCAACCAAAAGAAATAGTTAACACTACAATTAGATTCAAGAGTTAAGTGTTGGTACATAAAAACATACTAAAAGACAATTCCCTAAAGCTTGTTTTGGGTGTGATGTTGCTAGCAGCACAGTCCAGCCTGCTGACTGAGAGCGGACTCGGTGACGGCGTTGTAAGCCAGGCTGTCCAGGTTTAGGTGAGAGGATTCACAGCTTCGGTGAATTGAGCTCACAAACACACAGAGTGGAGCCGGCAAACAGGTGGCGGTGCTGCATGAAGCTGGAAAATGGCTTGAACTGACAGATGGTGAGCACAAACAGTGAGTCACTTTCATTTAAACAGCAACACTAATAATCAGTGAAGGTATTATGGAGGAGGGGGATTTCCATCACTGCAGAGCAACAAGATCCCAACAGGAGGAATATATGGCTCTCTGTTCTAAGCATGTGAAGAAATTAAATGTATTGCACTGACTCACAACAACAAAAACAATCCTTTCCGATGATATGTAGAGTCCATAAATTAACGTGAGCTATTTAAATACTTACTGTACACTAAAGCCGTAAGGGCTATTCCTATGAGTAGCAGAGCTCACATGCCCATTTATTCATGATCTCTTAATTCCTGCAGCCATAACTTTTCCTGGTAGGAGAACAGTGGAAAGCCTGAGAGAACCCATGTGGCATTTTGAACAATAGTTGAGAAAAGTCCCTGTCATCTGAATATTAGGAATGGTGGTGAGAACGCGGGTGTGCATGTGTGTGTGGTGATAATTCATGCATCCATAGGTGGAGCAGTCAGCAAATACAACAGCAGGATAAAGACCTTAGAGTTTGTAATCCTCATCTCTGTGTGCAAAGGTCAGGAAAAGATTGTGTATGGGTCAGTGGAAAATGAGTCACACAGCAGCATGTAAGGCACAGCGGGCTTATAGTAGCTCTATTTGCAGCAGGGGAGTGTAAATATATTAGTAAATGGGTTTTAATCCGCAGTAACATTAAAAAGAGGGCGAGGATTTCTATTGAATGAACAAAGATGCTTTCTGAACGCAAGAGTGTGATCACTTGTGATCAGTTTAGCAAACACATTTGTAGTTTTAAGCTGACTGTTTGTAACAAACATAACCTGGTTTCTCACCAATCTACATTCTGGGGGTGTACATTATGCAAATTGATTAGACAGACTATTAGTGTTTTGCTTGGCAGTTGCATCAAATACATAATTTATGAAATGCCCTGCATTTGACATACAATTAAAATTTGTCATCTCTATTTCCTAATCAGCAATGTGTAGTTTTAACTAATCGAGGATATCGGAAACAGCTGCAGGAGTTAAACCTAATCTAAGCCTTTTTCAGGAACATTTTCTCAATTCGTTGTATTTAAAACAACTAATAGAAAACCAATAACCTGCACTTTATAAATGTAACTCATGACGAGATTAACAACTGAAGATTGTAATTAAATCACCTTCACTCCCCCAAACTGTACTCATTATAAGATGGTTACATGAATATTAAATTAAACTTTAATTTATACAGATTGAAAAAAAAAACCCTTGTTAATAGTTTATTCTTGAATCTTATGTTATTCTGACAGCAAATATTAGATTTTTTTAAGCGTATTTAAACCTTGAACATACAGTGGTCTAGACGTGTACTTATAAACATGCAGTAACAGTGTAATTACATGCTACCTCATGCTGGTATTCACAACAATATAATCACTGCTAAAAAGTTTTTCTTTATCAAAAAGTTTATGTTTTTTTAAAAATCAAATACATTGAGAAATAACTCAAGTATGAGGTTTGAATTTTACCCCAACCAGCTGATGCCATAAAATCAAACGTTGCTGTAATATGATTGGAGCATCTGACATGAAAATGTTACAAGTGAACTTCACCCATTTTCTAAAAACAACATCGTTTGCCAATTTACAAAACTAATCCTGGTTGACAACCAAAAACCACATGGTTTTGACTGAAATATTGACTTATCTATTTTTCTTTGTGGACTAATTATTTAGTCTAAAAAGTTTGTTCCTAATACAGACACAAAGCAATGGATACAACTCTGAATTAAGCAAACATTCAGGTAAAAAAAAAAAGAGTAGCTTGTTGTTCTTCCTCTGAATTGACTAAGCAGGGTAGGAGCAGACGAAAGCCTGAGGTTCCCAACATGTGAAGTCATTAAACTTTCCATTTCCTGAAGGAACAGAAACAGACAAAAATCAAATCATGAGTAAAAAGTTAAGCGTTCCTTTACTGCCACTTTTAATATTTAAATAATAAACTAAACATTTGGAAACTGCCATGTACTGTGTCTTAAAAATAATTCACTCTATCAAGCAAATTTTAAAATCAGGTCAAGACAACTTGAGTAAATAAGACAGTTAACCACCATTTCACTTATTAATTGAAATAAACAAATACACAAACCAACTTGACCATATATGAAAATATGAACGATTTACTGTTCCTTAAAGCAAGTAGCTAGTTTTGTAAACTTTAGTGGCCGTCATCAGCCAATTAGACTTCATCAAACATGGAGGCTAAAATTCAGTGTTGAATTATGGAACTCATATCCAATAATGTAGGTTTGCAGAATTGATCAAACACAGTTCACCTTTCTATGTTTAGAGGGAAACCTGAGGGAAAATCTGTTCATGTCGTTGCTTTTAGCTCTCATCCTGTCCACGCACGTCTGCTCTGCCTGCTGTCCCCCTCATCGATATGGGAGAAATCAGTAAAATATGTGTATTTGCTTAAAGAAGCAGCATATTTTGTGACAATAAACCACAGGGGAATGACACTTTCTTTAGTTTCCTTACGCTAAACTCACTGTTTAGCTGCACCGCTTCATATCCAGTTAGGTAAAGTTAGAAGTTATCCGGTTTGATCACATAAATTAAACAGTCATTTTAAGAACTGCTGACATCTTTAAAATATCTGCTGATAAGTTTTTAAACTATAGTACAGACTTAAGGTTTTTGTCCTGCATTTCTGAATAGAAATCAAGCTGCTTTTCAGATATGAAGGGAGGTTTTTTTGTTTTTTTAAAGCTGCTGTTCCATCACAGCAGGAGATCACATCCTTCATGTGAATTATTATCAACAGGAGGCAGAGCAGGATGCAAATGGGTTATGGAAAATATCAGTGTGAAGTGTTTTCAGTAAACTCCTCAAGAGGCTTTACAAGCTGCAGCAAACAAGCTAAAAACATAAGAAACTTTATCACAGCAAAGTTTTTCAGCATAATGAGGCACTAGTATTAGTTGGAAACAACCTGTAATTAAGTTGTGTTTGTGTGAAACACTGTGTTCAGCTTCAATCAATAAATCAACATGTGCCTAAAAACGTTTTTTTTTTTTTTTTTTTTTAATAAAAATATTGAAATTTGAAAAAAATATTTCCAACCTCAATTGAAATCTCAAATTTGACCAGCAGGTCATCTCTTACCGAGAATTTCCACGCAGTTCTCCACCCCGGCTGTGTGATTCGGTTCGCCGGGGAGCCAGTCTTCATAGCTCCAGCGGGATCCGTCCAACCAGACGAAGCGTCTCTGCAATGTGACAAAATAAGCATGAGAACCCGTCACTCCTCCACTTGAGGAATGAACCGTCCGAACGATGCAGAGCGATGCAAACATTAAGGCCTCTTGTTAAAGTTAAGCTAAATTATCTCAGGACATGTTGACAAGTGTGTGAATACAGAAAAAAACCTTAGATTGAACAGTAACAAAGTAATAATTTAAACCTCAGTGAATCATTTCTGCTGCTTGTGTCTTGTGTTTGTTTGGAGCCTGGATTGAACCCAGAACCTTTTTAATGCAAAGCACTATGCACCAACATCAGTATATCTGACAACTAATTTAATTAAAAAAATAATAATAATAAAATGGAAATATAAAAAGATGCTAAGTGAAATGTTGGGAATTGATTTTAATTTAAAATTCTACGTAATGAATATTTTTGAAGAGTCGTGATTGTCAGACATTTTGTCTTTAGGAAAGTTGGAATTACACAGAATGCAATAATAACTATAGAAGAAGCATAAAAATTCAAGCGTGGACAAGGCAACAGGATGTTTGGTTGATAATGTGGTGGCTGACAGGCTTCACTGAAAGTGAGCCTCCAAATAAAACATCGTGCAGGTTCTGCAGCTGACGAGATATGAAGTTGTGAAGAATACACACATCTAGTCGTCGTCCTCCAACCCAGGTCCGTGTGTATCCTCCGCTCTGCCGCATAAGACTCATCAGCTCTTGGTGGACGAGTTGGGTTGTGATGGAGCCCAAGTGACCTCCTGGAAATTGTTCTTGGCAAAAGAGCTACAAGAAAATAAACAGACGGAGGGATGTCGTGTGAGATCATCTCGAGTTTGTGAAGAAATCTTAAAACATAAATAATTTCAATCGGGAAGAAATGACGTATTAATAATATCACCTCGGCATCTTCGTAATTGAGAGGCCCTTTGAAGAACTGGTAACACTTCCCATCAACAATCATACCGGGACAATAGCGCTCCCCTGTGGCAAAAAGGAAAAATGCAAGATTTTCTTAATTGCGGGATAATTTAAACATTTAAACGTTTTAACATTAACTGCATTCATTTTTGTGGTTACCAATGGCCTGTCTTAAAATATAAGATCATCTACTATTCGGAAATATAAGCTTGTGCGCCTTTAAAAAAAGGAAAAAAATAAAAAAATATGTGCTTCTACCCAGATTTTTATTGTTCTTCTAAAGATGGCCTATTCTATTCTATTCTATTCTATTCTATTCTATTCTATTCTATTCTATTCTATTCTATTCTATTCTAGACATTACATTTTATATTTAAACAAAACTGAACAAAAAATAAATTCCTTTATGCAACCTCATCTATAATAACAGAATTAAGCTCTTAAACACGTCCAGTAGTTGAAATCTTAAATAAATCCAACAGTTCCAGTGTGCTGCTTAATTTAAAAGAATAATGTTTCATCTCCTCTCACCTTGCATTTGTATATCATCTTCCATCATCATTGGAAGACCTTCATCTTCCATTCCTTGCCCCTCTGGGAATTGCTCTGGTGCTCCATCCCTTGCATACATCTCCATTCCTGCCTCTTCCTCTGGGAAATAGTTTTCTGACAGAGGCATCGTCTGCTGCGCCGCTGGATCCAGCGGTTCCTCAACCAGAACCGCAGCATCTGGTGTGTCTTCTGGATTTTGCTCTCCTGTTAACTCTGGTTCCAGCTCCAAGATTTCTTGCTCATCTGGAACATTATTTTCATGTTTCTGCATCAAATCTTCCTCTCTGTCTACCTTGTCCTCCTCCTCTTCTACCTCCTCCTCTGGAGAATCCTGTTCCTGAAAAGCCTCTCTGTAAGCCATTTCTTCTTCTGACATCTCGCTCACTTCCTCTGCAGGCATGTCGGCATCGTCCAGCGGCTCTAACTCCATCACAGCGAGGGGTTGCCTCTCTTCATCTTCCATCTCTGCACTTATTCCTCCATCGAGCTCCGCTTGTGCCTGAAATGTCTCTGGAGATTCTTTTGACTCAGGTGTCTCTTCTGGTTCCAGCTTCATGTGAGCTCCAACATCTACCCTAGGAGCTGATTGCACCTGAACACCAGGGTCTATTTCTTCTTCTTCTTCCTCCAGTTCATATTGAGGTTGTCCTTCGACTTCAACATTAACGTCAGACTCCACCTGAAAGTCAGGACCCTCTACAGGCTCTGCCTCTCCCTCTGGTGCTGGTTCTTGTTCTGGTTCCAACTCTTCCTCCACCGGGACCTCATCTGGTTTGGTCTCAGGTTGAGAGACCAAACCAGATGATTCTGGTGCTGGTTCTTGTTCTGGTTCCAACTCTTCCTCCACCGGGACTTCATCTGGTTTGGTCTCAGGTTGATCCTCTTTCTCTTTCTGTTCTGCTGGAGCCGTTTTCTCCTGCTGTTCTTTGGGATCAGGTTCAACCCGCGGTGCAGGATGCTCCACCACCACATGCCCCAGGGCGGGTACCCAGTCCCCGGCCACTGGCGGCTGGTTTTTGTCTTCTGCAACTGGATCTTTTGGGACTGTGGGCATTCCCATAGCCACTGTAAACAGAAGTTGTGAGAATATTGGAAGAAAAAAAAAAGCTGAGGTTATTAACAGTTGATATAAATGGTCGTTGATAAAACCATTATCAACGGGATACCATTTATTATTTTTTGGGGATTTTGGATGAAAAAAACAACAGAAAATAATTCACCATTTGGAGTTGGAAAAAAAATATGCTTACAATTTTCAATTTTTCTTTTACAAAAACAAATCTCAAAACTCCAAGTGGATATTTTTCAAAACATTTTCATCTCAGCTGAAGCCTATTGCAACAAATTGTTTTCAAAGAGACACTTATAGTATGTAACTTAAGACTGTAGACTTTATAGCTTTAACATAAAACCCAACAAAATAGATTGCAGTTTGTGCTTGCAATGTGAAATAATAGAAAAATAAAGTTAGGAGGCATGAAAACAACCGCCATCCTTTTTGTGTTGATATTAAATCTGTTTTGAAGCTGCTTGGTAGGAGAGGACATTTTACAGTCACTGCAATAAAATTTAAATCTGACCCTTCGTCGGTGAGGGAAGTTATCTGGAAAATAATCTATTCTTTTTATAAGTGCTGTAAAAGCAGCAACCCTTTCATTATTGAATATTTAAACTTACATTACACTGTTAGTAAGTTTCTGACAGAAGACTTCACTGCAAAACAGCTCAAAACTACGGTGCATGGAAAAGTGTAGTAAGAGAGACTCGTAAGCTGCCAGTAAACGGCACAGACGGACAGGAGAGGATTTAGTCTGTTCCTCTCCTGGGAAAATGAAAACTCTCATACCTGTAACGCTCACGAAGAGCAGCACCAGCGTCTTCATCTTGATTTCTAAAATTTGCTTCAGTATTCCCGATTGAGACCGTTTCAAATGTTGTCTCTCTGCTCTCTGACTTGAACAATAGCTTTATTTCGTTCTTCTAGTCTTTTTAAACAGCCCTTATCCTGCCTCCTTTTTTATTTCTTTTTGTAAATCATAAACCTCATAACCCTGACCTGATTTTGTCAGGCCATATTTTTTTCAATTTTTTTCTTCCTCTTGGCATTGGTTCAGACACAGGTATTAGGGGAGAAAGTTTACACTCTCTAAATAAAGACAAAAACTCCTGAATGCACAAACTGATTTATAACACAAGCTCGGAGTATTTAGAGTTTTTAAACTTTAGTATTTAATTGATAGTTGTTTATAAAGACCACAGAAAAAAAAGCTGTTTTAAGTGAGTCTTGTACAAAGATTTGGACATAAAATTCAGAATAGTTTTTAGAAAATTGCATGAAAATAGTGATTATTTAAAAGGACAGCTATGGTAATTTTGATCTCAACTTCCCAGGAAGCAAACCTATTTACTGGTAATCTGAAGCTGGACTCTGACCTTCAAATGAAAAATAATAATTAACTACCTGTCTCGTGGCCTGACTATCTTTCTTCCTTGTGACTTTGACGTCTCAAATCCTGTAGAGATAACTGGCCAGGAGCATGTAAACGCTGCTGTGTTGAAAGTTTCTAATTTTGACCTGTAAGTTTTTAGTTTCTTGTGGGCATAAATCGGATGCAACTTAGGCTAATGTCGACATTGAAGATGGATGAGGACCCAAATGAAATAAAAATAAATAGGACATAATAGCAACATGTTTCCTCGCAGAGAATTTGTGAGCAAACATATTTGTAAGATTTCTTTTTATCTTTATCACACACCTGCATGTGGCGCTAACACACAGAGTTATTTTTGGTAAAGATGTTCATATGTAAGGCCCACAGCATCACACATCCTCCACTTTACTTAATAGTGATAATTCAGCTTACTCATCCTTTGTTTTATACCAGATCTACCTGGAATGTTTGTTGTTATTTATGGTTATAACTGATGTTCGGTGACCTCAAAACACCTTGTTATGTCTTCATTTGGGTCCTCATCCATCTTCAATGTCGACATTAGCCTAAGTTGCATCCGATTTATGCCCACAAGAAACTAAAAACTTACATGTCAAAATCAGAAACTTTCAACACAGCAGCGTTTACATGCTCCTTATGCGAGATTACTTTGGCAAAAACCATCAAAATTTATAAAACTGCTAAAGTATATAGGAAATTTACAAAAACATGTTTTTTTTTCAGAGATAGAGACATGTTAAAGCTTTAAAATTGAACCAATGCTTTGTTTTGAAGTCAGAGTTTAAAGTTCTGGACTCCTCGGCGTTTAGTTTCAGCAAAGTTTAATGAAGGCAGCTGGCGAACCGATGACTGAAGTCGCACTGCTGGTTCAAACTCAACTCTTAAGATATTTCAGAATATGAGGAGCTTTACCTCGGACAGTTTATTTATGCCAAACATGTCAAGTGAGCGACGGAGCAGTCTGGCACACGTGTGTCAGTGTGTCACTGTGTGTTACATGACATCAGACCTGCTCAGAGCCGAACAGCTGGGACGGCTGATTGTGAACAGGTGCTACAGCTGAGATTTTAGCTGACAGCGTTTCACTGTCCCTCTCTTGTGTGCGCCTTCGCACACGTGTCGGCGTGTGGGGCTTATCCGTGTGTCTTTGAGTGTGCATATGGCCACAAGTGTAAGCATGTGTGCACATTAGCTGCAGCGAGCAACAATGTGCCGTTGTGTGACTGCTGCTGGTTAGAAACCTTATAGCCAAGGACGCAGAGGCTCAACGGCAGCTGTCTCATCTCCGCACCTCATCCGACACTCGACACATGGAGACCTTCTGTGACATCCTACTCACTTAGTGGGAGGGCCGCTTTAGGATAATCAAAATAAAATCCGATAACATTAGTTATTTCTCAAAACAGGGCAGAATTTGTCGCACAAGCCCCCCAGCAACATGTCTACAGGAGCCCGTTGGTATCAAGTGGAGGGCCTGGTTAACAAGTTGGACAACAATAAAGACGCAAGTGAAAGTAAACGACCAGAGCTTGTCCTGCTGCTAGAACATGGAGAGTGGAGCAACTTATATAGACTTACATGAACTGTTAGCTTAATATTGTCAATATTAAATGTAAAAAAACCCAAACATTTTTGCCATGTTTTGTTTATGTCTAATGGTTTGATACTAAACTCACAAATCTGAGGAAAGACAAAATTCCTCAAGCCTTCATTTGACAAAACTTTCTACAAACAGCCTCACCGAGCTAAGATTATATACCTTCACAAAGTACCGACATGCTGACCAGTTTTCTGCTTAGACAGTCGGGCCCAGCTAAAGGTGCAAAGATACAGATCGTTTAATTACAAAAACCTGTGACATAAAGAGAAATAATGGAATGTAATAAATAAATCCACAGGTCTGAGCTTTCAATGTCATGTAATGTCAGTATTTTTCTTTCTTACACAAGGCTTCTGTAGCTTTGTGTGAATGCTACAGAACTGGATCAAACAGAACCACACCACATGTGACGGATGTGTTGGATGTTTTGACATGAAATTTGTGTTTTTGTAAAAAAGTGTCGAAATTTACTGAAGCGTTTCCTTTAAAGTCTGAGGTTTCTTTCTGTTCCACCTCGCCAGCACAAAGGAGGCATTTCACAGATTCATAATGGCATCATTGGGCTTTAATGATGACCCAAATTTCAAAATCAGGTGTGTGTGGGAGTGTGAGCTAAACCACAACCTTCTTGATGAATCATGAATTTAGGTAAGACTTCTAAAGTCCCCTCCTGTGTTCACCTCTCACTTATGCAGTTTAAGTGAGCTGAATAAATGATGCAGTGATGCATCATTACGTCATTTGTAATAATGGAAATGTAGGTTGTCTAAAAGTTAAAAATAAAAGAAAACATTGCACCTGCTCAGAATGCCATTTAGGTCGCTAAAGTCTGCCTGGTCCATCAATTACCATCTCTGGGAACTCGAGAGGAAAGTTTTCACTCTCCCTTTTCTAGTGGCCAAACTTCAAGTTTTCCTGGAAGGGAAGACCTAGAATGTTTTTTGTAAAGTCAGAGAAAATTAAGTGTGCACTAATGGAATGTTCTGAGAAGTTTTTCCAAAAGGAATTACTTTTTAAAAATTTCATTTCAGATTTGGGGTGCTGCCGGAGCGAGTGCCTTTTGTGTAGGTTTGGGCCATGGCAGCGGGAGGAAGGTGGGTTATAACGGGATTGGTTTTGTTTTTCTTTACATTTGTTTTTGTCGTTGTTCTCTTATATTTTTGATGTTTGAAACTCAGTAAAGATATCTGATAAAAATGAGTATGTTTCTTAGGTGCTGTGATATTTTGTGAAGTGTTATGAAAAACCAAGGCCGCTTTTCAAAAGCAATTTGCAAAATAGTAATAAAAAAAAAAAGGAATTTTTTCAGATTCAGAAAAACACTCATTTGCAGCCAGGAACAAACCAAGCTAAATGTTTCAGCTTTAAACAAATATTTCAAAATGCTGAGCAATGATGTTCCAGTAATGAGCGTTTACATTAATCAGGTGTTTGATTTTAGCAGTTAAAGGGGGAATAACTGTATTTCTGTCAAGTCCTTTGTCAGAAACTGAATTTTTAAAAATGAAATTTTGCAGGATTTTTTTTCTCCTGTTCTTTTTTTTTATTGCATTAAATTATGTGACGTATTGCTTAAACTAATGCGTCACTGAATATACAATATCCACTTATCCACACATGTTTGAAAAACACCTTGGCCAACAAAGAACATCCTTATTTTTGACTATACAAAATATTTTTAATGTTATACCTTTTTGACTTTGGCAATATTCTATGTCTGCAGATTAAAAGCTGCTCCTGTCCTTTGCATTGTTCATCATTCGATAAATGGTCTTCAAATTTACACTGTATGGTTATATTAAATATATCATAGAGTTCTTCAATATAAATTTAGTTATTCTCATGTTTAACGCAGAATTTTTAATAACAGAAACTCTTGAACAAAGATCTGATACATCATTGTAATCAGTGGCCTAATGGTTGGCACAGGTCAAAACACAAACTCTTGTCCTGCTCATATTTCCTATGTGTGTGTATGTGTGTGTGTAAGCGTGTGTGTGTGGGTGTGTGGGTGTGTGCATGTACAGTGTAAACCCCTGTCTCCCTCCCTTGCGCCCTGTCAGTTGTGCAGCACACACGAGCGCCCAGAGCCCCTGCTGCAGATGAAACTTGAAGAAGAGGCTGTGGAGAGTTAGCACTTAAACTTTATCTCATCCAGACTCAGCAAATCCCCTCAGAGCTAAACTCCAGAACCGGGACGGACCATAAAACACCACGAAGATGCTGCCGCTGCTGCTGCTCATCATCGCTTTACACAGTGAGTGACTCTGGGTAGAAAAACTTGCGGACAGTTCTTATATTTTGTAACTAATGAGAGTAGTTTAAGATTATCCTGTCTGCGCAGGATTTGAAAAGTTTCATTTTTTTATATTGGACATTCTGTTTTGTTTTTATTCATTGTTTTGAGATTTTGGAGTAAATGTAATTTAATCAAGTAAAACAGACAAACGATAAATTTGATAAAAAGAAGCTATTCTTGCAGCAATTTCAACTGAACAAACACTTCCTACATTTCTATGTTTATTCTCACTTTCTTGGCCACGACCTGATGAAATATATATTTTAATTTAACTTTACTCAGACAAAGAGTTTAAGCTGATTATTACTGCATTCCATTTGTTCCTGGGCTTCTTTCCACCGATTTATAGTGTGTGTGATTGAGCTTTTGCAGACCCCTCATGCAGAGGGAGGAGGGCGTTTCGTGTTCAGGGGCCGAGATTGTGAAGGGAGTGGCTGAGCTTCATGTTTACACTGAGCGGGTTCTGATGCTGTTTGAACCCGAGATCCAGAGGCTGATGAAACGGATCACACAGAGCTGCAGAGGAGTTTCAGGTCCTGTCACTTGAGTTGTGAAAGGTGGCCTTCGTGTGACCCTCCAGCTAATTGGTCTGGGATGAGAATAACTGCTCGCTATCTGTTAAAATCACACATTTGATGTTGCTGTAGGAATTTTAAACAACAAGCTTGATGTCAATAATTGGAGCTCTGGTGTTTTCATCTTCCTCACATTTATTTGTGCGGAGCCGATGTTCTTCCAAAGATTTGCAGATCGATGCATTTTTCTCTCAGATTGAATTATAACACATTTGCTTTGGCTATGTTCACATTTTTAAAAACAGAGCAAAACAACAACAAAAAAACCAAACAAACGCCCAATCGAAAATGTTACAAGCTTGGTTTCCCTTTCCTGAGAGTGCAACATTGCAAAATGCATTTGTTGGCTGGCATCGTTGGCAAACATCCAGGGAAACCTCCCCCCCCAAAAAACCAGAAGTTAAGGGTGAAGGTAAACTTATAGTATCGGAGGTCAGGCTTCAGTCAGATCCTTACAAATGTACATGCCTCTGTGTGTGGCGTGTCAGCTGAGGTGGGTAAGGTTACAGTTTTACAGGCTGTCTTTGTGTGCAAGAAGAGCACATGCATGTGGTCCCAACACTCACTCACACACACACACACCCTCACACACACACGCAAACACTGACGAAATGCCATCTTCGAACATTTGATGACACATGCATCTGTAGCAGAAATCTAAACTACATGCAGCTCTTTGAAAACCTGTCTGTCTGTCTGGTTTTGTGTCATATCAAATCTTTTTTACGTTTTTATATTGAAATCACAAACTTGTGTGTTTTATTGGGATTTTATATTATAGATCAGCACAAAGTAGCACATAACTGTGAAACTGAAGAAAGAGGGAATAAAAATAAATAAATAAATAAACTGAAAAGTGTGGCATGCCTTTGTTTTTACCTCCTTTAATCTGACGCACCTAAAAACAATCCAGTGGTAACTCTTGGTGACTCCGGTGGAGATGCAGAGATCCACAGCTCAGGTGGGAAAATCTTTTGACAGGTAATAGACAATCAGCAATAGGCTTCAGAAACTGAAGAGTGTTGAGAAGAAATCTGTTGTTGATACTGTAGATTTCTGTTTGCTACGAGCCATGTAGTGGAAGAACGTAAATGGGTCAAGAAATTAACTTTGAGGCCTGGATGCAAATGAGTCTGTCTGATTACCCTGGACACACCATCCCCTTGGTGAAGGATGGTGGATGGAGGTGAATACTGGAAGAAAATATTTTAGAGGTCCTGAATATCTTAGAACTGTGGCTCAAGTTTACCTTCCAGCACAAAAATTACCCTTAACATAAAACCTGGGCTACAATGAAATATTTAGGATCAAAGAATATTCAGGTTTCAGACCAAAACCAAACTAAAAAGACTTTAGTTTGTATCCAGTCTGACTGAAGCTGTATTATTTTACATAGAAACTGGACACATGCCTATTTTCACACTGATTGTCGGGTCACAGCCAGGTTTTCAATATTGCACATTTCAGTGTGTGTTTGGCGTCAGTGTGTGTGTGTGTTTGGGTTTGAGCGCTGGTTGAAGAGACAGATCAGTGGAGAAGGTTATCAGGAGTTTGTCAGGAGATGATTCATCAGCAACATTCCTGAACAGCACCGCTCCTGGCACCACCAGAACCTAATCGCATACTAGTCTATATGTTTCTGGTTTTGTCTGTTCGTCTGCTCACAAGCTTCTTATAGTCCTACAACATAGAAATAACATCTGGCTTAGTTTTTAAGTTTCTAGTGACAGTTCAGCTCAGTTTATGTTTAGAACGTTCGAAACAGAGAAGGCGTCACTTTTAATGTGCTTTCATGTCGCTGGCACAAAGTTTTTGCTTTGAATGAATCAAAAATCTATATACGTCTTAATATGTTTTTGCACTTTAAAGTGTTTTGTTAATGAGGGATGAAGTCTTGAAAAGTATTCCTCCAGAAAGAATTACAAAACTTTGGAGAAAAGGTCAATTTGGTCAAGTCAAATATGTGGGACGGGTTTTGATTTTCTTTCTTTTTCTTATCTTGCTGTCTATTTTTGTGTGTACAAAACAGTAATTTGTGCATGTAATATAATACAGTGACACTAGGCTTTGATGATAACCACCATGCAGATTCTTCACTTTATCACAAGATTAATCAACATATATTCCCAGCATTAAATTGCACAAGTTGCTAAGATCCATCTTTTATTTCTCTTTGAACAAAAACTATAGACTCACTGAAAAACTGATAAATGTCCCTTTTTTTACTTGTGAAGGTGGTATTTTTCAAAAACATCTAAAAATCTGTGTTAGAGGAACTGAGACAAGCATGTTATTCTTCTGTTTTAGGTCACATGTGTCTGTCAGTGACAGTAAGCACCAGCAAGCCCAAAGTGGAGATCCATGAGCACACAGGTAGGACAACATGCAACATGCAACTGTTCATGTTGCATGTTGCTTATGCATATTGTTGTTTTTAAGAGGCTTTACAACCAAACAGCTAGAAAAGTACATTTTAATTGCCACATAGTCTCTCCTTAAAGTTATTAGGTATGAAGTATTAAATTCATGCATACAAATATTAAAAACAAACAAACAAAAAAAGATCTGGGAAATAAAAGACATTTACATTTACATACACCAAATAAAATGACATGAAGAGACTAAAGTTTACATAAAGAATGACCACTGCATATTAAGCACATCTTTTCTTTCTGCCCTTTAAGACGCCGTGTTGTCCTGTGAGTTCAAGACGGAAAAAGATCAGAACCCTCGAATTGAGTGGAAAAAGAAAGGAAAAGGAGTGACTTTTGTTTATTTTGACAAGAAATTTGCAAGTGAGACACGCACCTTGAAAGCTCATATTTATTTATCAAGCCAACATTTATGCATGTTGTCATGGATTTGCCTCCTGTTTTCCACCCCCAGACTAAATTTCTTTGCTTTCCGTCTCAGAGTCCTACGCAGGTCGGGCTAAGATAGAGGGAGCGACGCTGACGATTCACTCCGTCACCCAGAAAGACTCGGGGGAATATCGCTGTGAGGTAACTGCCAGTGAAGACCACGTTAACCTCGGAGAGGCCACTGTGACCCTCAATGTGCTCGGTATGTTAAAACTGAACGCAGACAAACACATTCTTAGTTATAACTTGCTGTTTGCCACTCTAACGCTGCAGCTTGTTTATTAAAAATCTAGAGAAATGAGGGCCTTCATAGGTTTATAACATGAAAGTATTACAATGTTAGATTATTTTTTTGCTGATTTTTAATAATGTGGTAAAATATTTTCCATTAAATTCATAAACTAAGTGCCCAGTAGTCCACTGTTCACCAAAATGTGTCATTCCAAATTTTACAAAATAAAGGTTGTAAAACTTTCCTGACCGATGAACAGTAAAGCACTTTACACACATTTAGGAATCACAAATTAAGAATGAAATTTTAAAAATATTTTAGCTGTATTCTAAAATTGTGCACAGATTTGAGTAACTTATTAAAATATTTTAAAAACAATCCCCTGATGAACAGAAGTGTATCTTTGGAAGAATTAAACATCTCAACATTTTAAAATGAAAAACAGTGAGAAATACCACACTATGCTTTACCTACCATCATTTCTATCTGTGAAAAGTGCTGAAACTTTCAAAAGTACATTATTATAAAGCATGTATTTTCCCTTGACATTAGATTTAAGTTTTCTGCCAAACGAACCTGTTGTTTAATTCTTTCCTTCTGGGTCAGTGTAAATAATTAAAAGCATCTGGGCTTTTTACCAAGATTAAAAAGAGAGATACTGTGATGTAGGCACACGGATATCTTGACACATGGATACCTGGAGAAAAGAAGACCAGGAAAATTATTGATTTAGTTCCTCTTTTATCAGGATACACACTGTCCTTGTGACTCATTCTTCGCCATAAAAACTCTATGTCATATAAATCAGAGGTACTTTGTACATTCAACCAACAACAAAAATATTCTGCATTATGAAGGTTTTCCTGCGAACTCACACACTTAGCATTGGGATTAGACTCTACTACCCAAAAAGGCCATGCACAGTGTACGGCCTTATTCATTTTCTGTTTTCAAAACATTTTCGTTGCTCAAAAAGTGCATGTATGTTTCCAAGTGGTGTGGTCTGCTTCCTTTTCTTCCTCAGTGCCTCCTCACGTCCCGTCATGTGAGGTACCGAGCTCGGTGTTTGTCGGCACCGGCCTCGATCTGTTCTGTAAGGACAAGCTCAGCGTACCGCCGGCCACCTACCGCTGGTACAAAGACAATACGGCTCTGACAGCCACGGGAGACGCTCCATACAGCATCGACACAAACAAGGGAACATTGGTGAGCGCATCCCAAAATGGCGTCCATTTGTGCAGTGTATAGAGTCACAGTTGCTGATCTTTGCTGAGCTTGCCTTTTGTCTTCTGACTTTATCTCTGACGGCTTGGAGCAGAAGTTCAAGAGCGTGTCCAAAGAAGACACAGGGATGTATCGCTGTGAGTCCTCCAACAGTGTGGGGGCGCCAAAGAGTTGTGTAGCCAAGCAGCTCACAGTTGTTGAATGTAAGTGTCTTTGTAGAAAACATAAACTAATCATCTGGCATATATTAATAAGAAACGACTAAGCATGTATCACTGCCCCTGCAGATCCATGGAATATGACGATGTTGATAGCAGGTGCGTCAGGATTTGTGGCGCTGATCCTTTTCTGCTGTGTCAGCATCTGCATCTGCCGCCGCAGAGGCTGCTGCAAGAGTGAGTGCTGACATGTTACTGCAAGTCTCTGACGGGGGCAGTCCAGATTAAACAGAGTTTACATATTAAGACATGAGAACATGCAGAAGACTAGGCACAAATCTAGATATGTGTGCCTGGCTCATAGTGGACGCTGCAGGTCAGAGGTCAAATGCCAACCATGAATGCAAAGGAATTGTCCATAGACCTCTGAGACAAGATTGTCCTGGGAAATGATCCAGAAACATTTCTGTAGCTTTGAAGCTTCTACTGAGCTGAATGGCCTCCATCCTAGAGCCGGCCAGCCGTCTAAACTGAACTTTATGGGGAGAAGAGCTTTAGGGTGACCAAGAACCCACTGGGAACTTTGTCAAAGCTCCAGTGTTCTGTGGAGAGAGGAGAACCTTCCATCTCTGCAACAACCCACCATTCAGGCCTGTATGGTAGAGCAGCCAGACAAAAAAAAAGAGACTAATTTAGTACAATTTAGAATAAGGCTGAAAAATAAGTAAGGAAAAAGTGAAGTGCTGTGAATGCCTTCTAGATGCACTGTACAACCGAAACATCAAGTCTGACAGTTTCTCCAATCAACCAGTGAGATTTCAAAACCATTTTCATGTTTTTTGATTGTCACCTCTTAGTTTCTCAACATCTTCTTGGAGCAACACAAGCTTACGACGCTACTGAGATTAAAAATGGTGTTTAATTACACCTCCAGGACACGATTAGTGCTGCGCATTACAAACTTGTGTAATGTGCCGATCATTATCTTAAACAGATTTCTTGCCTTGTATTTTTTTCCCAACCAGAAAGCATTAGTTAATTCCTTTGACTTGACAGAAACCAGGCAAATGTTTACAATCTAAAACAGAAAGGAAAGAGAAGCAGTTTCTGGCTGAAGTAAAGATTTCAGCTTTAGACTTTTGGACCCCCTAATCATCTTCTAAATATTTGATTAATTAATTGTTTTTTTGAGTTTAATGAGTCTCACCTTTGCTTTTCTTATTATTTTCAGTCTGCAGTTATTGTCAGATGTAATTCTCTGGCTGTAATCCACAGGAAAACACAGAAGGGCTGATTTAGTATTTATTGAATATTAAATTTTTATTCCTCAATTTAGTGAGATACTTTTCTCAAGGAATCAGATTGGAACAAACCTTTAGACTCCACAATAAATGAATAAATAATATTTAATTAAAGTGCTGATCAAAACTACATGCATTGATTTCCTGGTCACTTTTTTTTTTTCACACAGAAAGCAGGAAGACGAAAAGGTGAGAGTCTCTGTTTGGTCGAACTCACTTTAAGCTATATTACCTTCTTCTGAGCTCATTCTGAAACGTCACCCTTTGTCCTTCAGCTCCAAGTCCTACAACCCTCCTCCGCCTCCCCCGCCTCCTCCCACCCGCAACGTAAGTGATCAAAACAGTTGTTATCATTCCAGGGCTTGTTTTGCTCGCATTGCTTCAGGTTTGCCACTAAAGGCAGTCGATAAGTTGCTGATAGCAGGCTAATTAAAGGAAATGATTGATTGTATTTTCTCTCCACTCCCTACAGTTCAAGCACTACAAACAAACTCAGTCCTTCATGATCTGAGGGGACGACGACGAGTTTGTCAAATAACCAAAGTGTACAGCAGGAACGCTCAGAGGCTCTGCTGCTGGTGCAGAAATCTTCAGCTTTCAGGCGAAGCAGATGTTTCCTTCCTGAGTTGCTGGTTCTGTCCAGTGGAAGTCCCAATGATACAAAGACAAGTGTACAGCTTCATTACTTTTCCATATGATATTTGTCATTTAACGTTTTTCACTTCTTGTTTTGAGAGCAGATGTTAAGCTCTTTAAGTCAGTGTATATCTTATTTTTGGTAAAACTGTATATATATATATTTGGTTATAAATGCTTCATGTTGGTTTTGGTTGACTTAGACATGTAATATTTAATGTTTCTAGTCTTTTTTCTAGCATTTAATTGAGCTGTTTGTTGATCTGATGCTGTTTTTCTTGTAAACATTTTTTTTTAAATAATTGTTTGAACAGGTGTCTGCACACACTGAACAGTATTTTAGAAGTTTTAAAATCTTTCTTGCTTATATTTTTGAGAAATCTTAGCTTATACCCAATAAAGACTGCTGGGTAAATATGCACATTGGGTTTAATGGCGCTCAGACTGGATTAGACAAAGTGTAAAGCATCAGTCGGTGCTCCAAACAAATCTGATGCAGATTCAGATTTGTATCCCAAATGGGCAATTGATGTTACAGCAAGTATTAAAAACTAAATGGCAAAATATCAACTATTAAAAAATAAAAAATCATGTCAAAAGGACATGAAATACAAATCAATACATAATGAGAAGAGTACAGCAGACGTATTTATTAATTACTTACCGACAGTTGCTACAAACACTAGAACTTGTACCTGTTACTTTTCATACTAAGAAGTCTGAGCCTGATGCCAGAAGCCAGAAACTGGATCTCAGCATGTAAAGGATGAGAAGTATCAACAATAATTGCTTTAGTTTCCCTAATGATTTGTTTTTTTGAACAGTTCTGCAAGTGAGCATTGTTCAACTCCAAAGATCTCATTACTAGTGTGTATGACTCTGCTAAGGGCATTTTTTGAAACCAACAGAGGAGGGAAAAAGGCAACATAAGTTCAACGTATGATCTATAAAATAGAATCATCAATGACTCATCAACTTGAAACTTTGCGAGCCTCCTTAGACAAAATCATCTTTGCTGGCCCTTTTTTTTGTAGGTTTTCTGAAAGGCAGGTAAATTTTAACTTATTATCCAAAATAGTCCCAAGATATTTGTAGTTTTCTACTGTCTCCAGTGTCTGATACATAATACTGATGTTTTTCCTCCATTTAGACCAAAGATGAAACTGATGGTGGAGGTGCAGAAATCGCTCACATATGCAGGGAAGCTAAACAGATGTGAGAAAGTCAGATGTTATACTATATATATTTGGTTATAAATGCTTCATGTCCTAGATGTTATACTAATGGCATTAATAACACATTACAGTCAGGCTTTCCTTTACACTAATGTTTTTCAAAGATGTTATGATCTGGTGACGCTCAAATAATCTTGGAAAGCCTGAATAACGGAGTGCTGTGTTAAACTGCAGCCTAACTCACACACATTTTGACATCTTCTCCATTTCATTTGAATAAATGTGAGATAAACTCTGTTTGTGTGCAACGGTGTTCCCTATATTCAGCACCATTTTAAGTCCTGATCACACCGTAGTTAGTATTCTCTTTATTATGTGATAAACTGGGACAATCACATCATGCTTTTGGTTATAATGTGATAATGTGATAATGATCAAACACCTACTCATTTCAGTTTGCTGCAGCTATTTCTGTGGAATAAAGACTGAAAACTCTGACAAGTACACAGAGTGTCCGCCACACAGACCAGGACATGTGGGCTGGTTCCACAGATGAGGACACTGACAAGTGAAATATATGCAATATGACCTAAAGGTGAAACGCAATTGGTTTATTAAAATCTGGCTAAAATAAGCCATGCAGATTTGAACCGTCGTCATCGCTTGTACAGATTACACGAGTCCATGTTTTCTTTCTGCCACTAGAGTGCAGCAAAGCCACAGCCAACGTCCACATACTCTCAGCTGCCAAAAAAAGGCCTGCAAGCTGCCAGCCATTATTCATTATTTGTCTATGAACAGATCCTCTATTGTCCTCCTCCTTTTGTACTTATTGTTCTTGTCGTTTTGGTGCCCATATATTTTAAGCTCTGGCGTGGCTTCTTCTTTTTATGTCTCCGGCTGAAAGTCTCTGCCAAAGAGACGTTGCCTCTGCATGTCCTTGAAGCTCTAATAAATGTTTGTGTTATTTGCTATGCATCCTAAATATCGTAACCATTTGATCTCTGAAAAATCTATACCTGCAGACTGCAGATAATAACAGAGATCACCTGACCTATATAATAACCCCTCGGAGTGATTACAGGGTAAGCGGAGCCTATTGATCTGCAAAAACGGCTGCATGGTACATTAGCTGGAACCGTTCCGACTAGCTTCAAATAAATGGCATCGGCTGTGCTCAAAAATGCAAATGGGAATGTTAAGTCCTGATCACACCGATCAAGAGCGGCGAAAATGGATCCTGGGTCAGAACTGCTTTTGCTTTCAATGACACAATGATAACACATTAGTATTTTGTTCAGTAATTCACTGCTGAACAGTCAGGGACTTCGGTGTTTGACGGCATAAAATAGCAGTTTCTTGTATTTCTCCGTCAGTCTGTGCATGATTGCTCAGTTGGAGGCCATTAAATGAAATATACTCGGCACAATGCATTAAGGGTATTTTGAATGTGTCATGTGGAGTCTATCAATACTCACCAGAGATGTAGAGAGCAAAAAAAAGAAAAGCAAGTATATGCTGCTACTGCAGACCACAACAAAGCCTCTGATTCAGACTCATTTTAGGTATAAAAACCAAATATTTTAGTTAGACAGAGCAAGATTAAATAGATACAAAAATCTTCAATGCAAATAATCTGAATATAGAGAATATGATGTAAAAGAAAACCATGTCATCACAAACCACTTTATTTATTTTTGTCTTTTTAAAGTACAATAGGTTCTGTTCAATAAACATATCTTTGTTTCTATAAGCCTCCCTTATTACTATTTTTAATTGGATTCCAGTGCATGAAGCTATTTGGGTCCAATACGACTGTGCAGGCTGATAATTATACACTGACAATAGACTCACTAAGGTAAACCGAAGGTAAACCGAGACAATCACAAACTTTGTAATTTTATATCTTCATCAAACAGAATTTTGAAAGAGCCTTTGGTCACATTGCAACCCCAAACTTCAATGTATTTTACTGAGATATGTGTGTGATTAGCTAATGTCTGTGAACAATAACTATGAGGAATGCAGGGTCTCTGTTTTTCTGTATATAAATTGCAGAAATAAAAAGTGTGCATTTGTAATCACCTCCATTTGCTCACATCTATAAAAACTATGAGGTACCTAAACCGACAGCCTGGGCAAAACACAATTCATCACAGGAAAAACCTTTTGTTATTTATGGCCAAAACCAGGAGAAATTATTTAGGCAGCAGCATCAAATTATAATTCTTTACATAACTTCTTTATAATTTTGTCAAATTTTCTGTACCCATCTGCAAGTTTCAGATATTTGAGGAAATTTGACCCAATTCTTACTGTCAGCTGTCGGATGTTTGAAGTTTTTATCGCAGGTTCAGTCCGTACAGAATATCAGTGACAAAGATCTGGGTTCTGACTTTTTCCTATTTCCTAGTTGTTGTTTTTTTCTTTTGTTTTTCAGGCATTTCCTGGGGGACTATTAGTATGTTTAGTTTGGATCATTGCATATTTCAGCTCTCTGAATAAATATGTCTTCAGATATCCTTCAACATGTGGTAAAATACATTATGTGTAAATAAAAATTTTTAATATGTCAAACCTGCTGTTTTGAAGACATCCAATGATGAGAACAAACACAGGTTTGTGTTGTGTTAGTTGGACACAGCTTGGAGTTTCCCTTTAACCAATGAATAGGTCAGTGGAGAGAAAATGTCACATGCAAATTATTTGATTAAAGTGTCTGATTGCTGCACACAGAGCTGCAGACGCAAGGCTTTACTGCTGGTGTTGGCCTAATTTTGTCTGTGAAATCCAAATAAAGAAAGAAAAAATAAATAAAAAACATTTTTCATTATATCACCGGTGCTGCTTTGCCTGGTCTGAGCAATACATTAAATATTGAGCTAAACTTTGCATTCAGTTTTAATATTTGAGTCTAAATATTTGCTTTGTGTGATGACGTAGCCATTCATAAAATATACTTTAAGGGGTGTTTGCTTCCTTTAAAAGGCTCATGATTAGTTGTTGAGTTATTTCAAAAACAGACACTTGATTATTGGTTGATTGTTGAACGTTTACCAATTTACAACAAAAATTTTAACAATTTGAACATTTTAAAGAAGATACAATTTGTATAATAATACATGTTAATCAGCTTTAGGTATTTAAATGTAATAGTTGCTAAAGTTAAAGTTCTCAAATGTGACGCAAACACCATCAGGCAATTATGTTAGAAAAGACGAAGCATCTGATAGAAACACAGTGAGGTTTATACTCTACATAATGTAAAACCTGAGGATGAATTTAAACACTGAAATAACCTTGGCATTATGGATAAAGCTGCAGATATTTAATATTTGTCTTTAAAATAACATTTCAAATGAACAAAAGTCATTGATTAACAAGTTAGAAAGACATGTGAAACATTCAATTTTCACTGGTAAAAGCAACAAGTCAATAATGCTTAATGCTGTAAGCTTGACTTCAATTTTCCTGTAACGGGCATCTCAACATTATGCAATTTGACTGCTTAGTCAGCGGTTCTGTTAATTAATTCATCTCAGAAGAGCAATAATTCACCTCCATGTCCACCTCCCTCAAAACTGATACAGCTTGGTTTTAGATTTGGCTGCATTTGGTTGTCAGTTCCTCTCTGTAGTGACTGAAAGTGTAAACATTTTCTTGGGATGAGCTTTTGTTGTTCAGATGCCATAATGAACTGACTTATCTTTCTCTTCTTGTTATTTAAATGCGAGGTTCATATTCAAACATTTTTTACTCATGCTGCCATGTTTTAAAACGTTGTCCAGAATCAATCAGCAGCCAGATTAAAGGAAATAAAATAGCTATATTTGATAACTTTGATACGAGAGGAAATATTTACAATCTAGAAAATGTTTGGGGAGATTGCATTGCAGTTATCGGAGCTAACCTATAGAACTGTGCTAAGTAAAAAAAAAAAAGTCATACTTTTAAAAAGATCATGGATATATATGGGTTTGATTTTTAATTAAATAATACAGCTAAATGTTAATGCGCTTATTGGTGTTATTTCTTTTTAACCTCCTATGTACCCTCCCAGCTTAGCACTGCTTATGTTCATTATCAATGCCCATTCTTGGCCCTATGCTTGTTAAATTACACTGTTCCCAAGTAATTATGTTGCTTGATTTAGGGTTAAGGTGCAATGCCATCCATTTAACACCATTTTATTTTTCAAAGGTTCTGGTCCAGAGATTAAATCTTCTATTTTGTTAGAATTTAAAAGCAGAAATTTAAGAGTTAATCAGGTTATTTATGATGTGATTGTTGTCTACTTGGATCCACCAGGATGTATTGGATAAATATAACTGAGTATCATCAGCATCACAGTGGAAAATGATCCATGCTCTACGATGATTCTTGGCAAAAAGAAAACAAAAATGACCCATGAACTGAATCCTGTGGAACTCCCAGAGGTGAAGACTTGCCATTAATATGAATAAACTGGAATTCACCTGATAAATATGATTCAGATGCTCCACATGTGTAAAGTCAACTTGATTTGATTGTTTAGAGACAAATAATCAACATGTTGTTGAGAAGAAAATAAGACCACGAGTAGCATGCTCCAAAATATGTTTTAATGAATGTATTGATATATTGCTGTATTGTTTAGTCAAACCCTCTCAACACAAACTGATTGTGTTGAGAAAAATCACTGCATAAAAATATTCTAAAAATATCAGTTGTTTGTGGAAATGGAAAATGCTGATTCTGTGATGGTCAGAGCCAGAAACGAAACTGTAAACATCTCCAACATCATGTCTTCGGATTTCAGAAAATATATTATTAACCTTTACGCCGCCTAGAAAATCCTATTGAGTTTAAAACTCTCTTCTACAAGATAATCCTGGCAGCAGCATACAGAGTTTTCAAAACAAGATATAAATCCTGGCTTTTGACGTAGCTACTTTTGTCTTGCTGGCCACTGAGTGATGTCACAGTTCAGCCATCCAAACACAACATCATTACTCATCAGTAAATTTCTTGGCTCATTTATTTCTATCAGGATTCTCCTGCATTTAGCTTCATTCTTCATGTGATGAGAATGCAGCCAGTTTGAACACAGTCAAACAAGCTGTGTTCAAACTTAAGCTGGAAAATTAAGCTGGAAAAACAGTGATTTATTTCCTTTAACACCATTTCTGCTCTGCGGTCTGTTGTGCAGCTGACAAAGTAGGCATGAGCAAATCCTTCTGGGAGTCGTTATTGAATAATTACTCTTAATTATCGCATCTGTAAATATAATTATGGTTAGAAAGTACAGCGGCTGAGTG